TTCATTTGGATCATTTTTTTTGTCTTGTTGGGCCTGTTACATATGAGGGGCGGAGCCTTAGGTGTCCACCAGAATGGGCACCCCAGTCACTGGGTTGTGATGCTGTATGTGGGGACAGGGGTCCAAGAGGAAACAATTGCACTTGCTCAGCTCTCTGCCAGATTTCAGTCCCTTCTGCGCTTTCCCCAAGCAAACTGGGCCCTTCTGGTGCTGATTCCCATGTGGGTGGGTTTGTGTACATTCTAGGACCCTGTGGGTCTCTCCCACGAACTCTCCTGTGAGGCTGGGAGTCTCTCCATGCACCTCAACCTCCACAGGTGTTTTCAATTGGTGTTCTGAGGCTTTATTTCCCATGGCTGGGGCCCTGGTTTGTGTGGTCTGTCTCACTCCCCAATTTCACCTGGTTTATCTGCGTGCAAATGTGGGACTGCCTGGTCAGCCAGCTGCCTTGCATGCAGTGCCTCACTTCACAATCATCGCCTGGCTGGGTCTGCCCGTTGCTACCCTGCACATGGAGTCTGCCAGTTGCTGCTATCTTGCATGCCCGGTGCCACTGCTTTCTGTGCTGTGATCCCTCTCTGCATGGATGCCCAACTCTGCCCTACCTATCAGTCTGGATGAATGTGTCTATTTTATCTCTTTGGTTGTCCGAATTTCATACAGTTCAATTTTTCTGTCAGTTCTGGTGGTTATTTATTTTTTCTTTTAATAATTTTTTTATTGATTATGTCATTACAGTTGTTCTATCCCCCCTTCATTCCCCTTCACTCTGCACACCTCCTTCCCCACCATTTCCCCCCTTTCATTTATGCCCTCATGTGTCAAGTTCTTTAAATTCTATATTTCCCTACTATTCTTGCCCTCCCCCTATTTTCTACCTACCGTCTATGCTACTTATTTTCTGTACCTTCTCCTCCTTTCTCCTCCCTTCTCCTCTTCCCACTCTCCTTTTTCTGCCCCTCCATGTGATCTTTGTTTCTATGGTTCTGCTCCAGATCTAGGTGTCCTCTTAGTTTGCTTTTATTTTAGGTGTGGTTGTTAATAACTGTGAGTTTGCTCTCCTTTCACTGTTCATATTTTTTATCTTCTTTTTCTTAGGTAAGTCCCTTTAACATTTCATATAATAAGGGCTTGGTGATGATGAACTCCTTGAATTTGACATTATCTGAAAAGCTCTTTATCTGCCCTTCCATTCTAAATGAAAGCTTTGCTGGATAGCGCAATTTTGGATGTAGGTCTTTGGATTTCATGACTTGGAATACCTCTTTCCAGCCCCTTCTTGCCTATAAGGTCTCTTCTGAGAAATCAGTTGACAGTCTGATGGGAACTCCTTTGTAGGTGACTGTCCCCTTATCTCTTGCTGCTTCTAGGATTCTCTCCTTCATTTGAATCTTGGCTAATATAATGATGATATGCCTTGGTGTGTTTGTTCTTGGGTCCAACTTCTTTGGGACTCTCTGAGCTTCCTGGACTTTCTGGAAGTCTAGTTCCTCTGCCAGAACGGGGAAGTTCTCTTTTATTATTTGTTCAAATAAGTTTTCCACTCGTGACTGTTCCTCTTCCCCTTCTGGTACCTCTATAATTCAGATGTTGGAGCGTTTAAAGATGTCCTGGAGATTCCTAAGCCTCTCCTCATTTTTTTGAATTCTTGTTTTTTATATTTTTCTGTTTGGTCATTTTTTTCTTCCTTCTGGTTCACTCCCTTTATTTAAGTCCCAGTTTCCTTTCCATCACTATTGGTTTCCTGTGCATTTCCCTTCATTTCAATTAGTTTAGCCTTCATATATTCCTCTAATTTGTGACTAAAATCAACCAATTTTGTGAGTATCCTGATCACCATTGCTTTGAACTGTGCATCTGATAGCTTGGCAATTTCTTGGTCACTTTTATTGGTTCTGGGGCTTTGAGTTCTTTTTGAGCCATGTTTTGGTCTGTTCATGCCTGTCACATATGAGGAGTGGAGCCTTAGGTGTCCACCATGGTGGGGCCACCCAGGTTGCTGGTTTGTGACACTGTATGTGGGGGTGGGGTCAAAGAGGGTCAATGGTGGTCCCCTCTGCTGCTTCCTGCCACTGGGGCCTGCGTGGTCTGTCTCACTGCTCGCTCCTTTGCTGGTTTATTTGTACTCTAATGTGAGTCCACGGTCAGCCTGCTGCCTTGCACCCTCTCTGGGTCCGCCTGTCCCTACCCCACCCCTGGGATCCACCCACGGCTGCCTGTGCACCTGGGTTGGTCCAGGGGATCTTTCCTGCCCGACCCGGCTCTGCTGCTGGCTCCGCCCCTCTTACCAGTCTGGCGGAATGGTTCGTTGTTGTCAGACTTCCATATAGTTCAATTTTCTGTGTTTTTATTGCTAAAACTTTGTTGTTTTTAAACTTGGTTGTTCGAGAAGGCATAGGGTTTCCACCTATGCTTCCATCTTGGTGGAAATCCTTACATATCTGGTTGTTATTTTTTTCTAAATTGTTGTTGTCCTTATTTTGGTTGTGTGAGGAGGTACAGTGTGTCTACCTCTGCCTCCATCTTTGCTGGAAGTCTAAATAAAAGTCCTTTAAAAAATGACAACAGCCACCTTGGCTGTGTGGCTCAGTGGACTCACTGTTGGCCTGCAAACCAAAAGGTTGCAAGTTAATTCCCAGTCATGGCACATGCCTGGGTTGTGGGCAAGGTTCCCAGTTGGGGTGTGTGAGAGGCAACCACACATTTATGTTTCTCCCTTTCTTTCTCCCTCACTTCCTTTCTGTATAAAATAAATAAAGAAAATCTTTTAAAAAATGACAACAGCCAACACAATGATAGCCATCCAGTGTGACTGAATCAAAATTATACCTATTTTTTGTCAGCTTGGCAAAAATATATATTTTCGGCATGCTGCAGAATTGTAGTAATTAGTTTGTGTGTACCATGAGATAAAAAATGTTGAAAATTGCTGACTTAGAGATCTTTAAATGCAAAATAAAAAATACAGGTACTTGGGGCCACCCCCAGAAATTCTAATTTACTGTATTTAGTTTGGGGTATGGCCTAAACATTGGGAATTTTAAGAGCCTCTCAGGTGATTCTTAGTGTGCAGCCAGTGTAGAGAGTGACTTCTAATGAGAGCAAAGTGGACCATTTTCAAGAGCTTTGCTTCAGCTATGAGTACATGTTTGGTTATACCAGGACCTGAACCTGGGATGTAGCAAGAGGTGCCTAGGGTACATAATTCAAGGGGGCACTCACTCTCAGGGCCCTGCAAGTGTTGACTCTGCATTTACATGGCCCTGAGAGTGAGTGCCTCCTTAATTATTGGCACTAGGCATCTCTAGCCTCATCTAGTCAGAGCCAGGTTAGACAACCAGGGTTATCTGTTGAACACCAGTAAAATACTGGTCAGGGAGCTTACAAATGCTGACCATTTACTTATTCCCCCCCCCCTCCAAGTACTCAGAAGTAAAATCATCCTTTTGTGGGCAGATCAGGGTACAAATTACTAATGTGATCTTGTTCCATCTTTTCATATTCTTTTGCAGACTAAGTTGCAACAAATACCTTTCTGAGAAGATACCACAAGATTAGCTTATATTTGATTTACTTTTCCCTTGCCTTTTTTCTTATGAAGTCTGTTCCTGCCTCTCAAGTGCTGGAAAGTTGCCGAGTTTGGGAAACACTAAAACACTAAAAATGGCAGCCATCCTCTCTTTAGGAGAGTCTTGGTTTACTTTTCCAGATTGGTTATTCTATTTCTGTCTCTTGGGCCCTTGGCTGATTGATCACGCAGGGATTTGTCATATTGCCCACCTCTTTGAATCAAATGTGGACATAGCAACTGAAAATAAACAAGATGTGGATATTAGAGAACCAGGGACCTTCTTTGCCTGGGGAGCTAGGATACTTGCTTGCTGTTGTAAGATGTTTTCTGGCTTTAGCACAGCATCAATCATTGGAAGTGCAGCTGTGTTTTGGGAATAGAGAGCTCATGGAAGTGCAAAGGTACACTGATGAGAATTACCCTGAATGATGGATACAGATGCAAATCATAATGCATAGTTCACAACATTATCCCCATTTTTGGAGTTCTTTGTATTGGGTGATTTGCTATGCTGAGAATTAAAGTGTGCCAAAGCATCATTTCTGTTTTCAGAATAATTTCGTCAGATTTAAAGATAAGTAAATATACCAGACTGTTGCAGTTCAGTTCTTTGTAGTCTTGTGAGTATGGCTAATGGTTTTGACAGTAGGATCTGGTTGAACATTGGAATAATTGCTTTAACTTAATACCGTTTTCCTTATTCTGCTGTGAAAAGACAAGTAAGTGGAGATTGAATGTGAAAATTCCTTAAGGAATGACATAGGGTGAGAGACAGTTCTACCCAGGAAGTTAGCTATAGGAATGAAGGACCTTTCTGTAGGACAGTAGGACAGCAGCACTGGGCACTAGTTAAGAGCCAGCTCTGCCACAGATGAGCTCTGTGATCTTGGAGATGTTACTTAGCTCCTTTGTGTCTATTTCCACATCTGTAAATGAGGGCTAATGAAAGTCTTACCTTGTCAACTTGTGAGGATTAAATGAGTTAATATTTGCAGACCTTAATACAGTGTCTGGCATATAATAAGTACCATATAAATTTTGCTTGCTACCATTTGTTATTTATATAATATCACATCCTTTTTCTTGGTGCTGGACTAAAGGCTGACGTGGGAGATAAGTCCAAACCCTGAATTACGTCTGCAAATATTTGATGGCATTAAAAAATGTTAAGCCAGAATAATTTGAACTAGGTCTGCAAAGATTTGATGGCATTGAAAAATGCCAAGCCAGAATAATTTGGTAAAACATCAGCATTTTTCTATCTCGACATTATTATAGGAGTCCTTATTGTGTCAAAATAAAAATTTTCTCTATATTTAGTGTTCTGGAATTTTTCCTCAAAAGTGATTCATTGTTTGGCCAGCGAGTTCCCCTTTCCTCAGTTCTAAAATAAAGTCTCACTTGAGTTTCTCTGATTCTGCTCCTAAAGAATTGCCACTGCCTCGCTTTATGATATCAAAGACTGAAGGTGAGATACGATTTGGGAACTCGGCTGAGCTGCATGGAACCAAGGCTCAAATTCCATATTTAATCTCAGAAAAAAATACCTTCAAAAGAATGGATGATGAGGATAAACAGGTAAGCTGTCTGATCAGGCACGTCCTTTTGATTCTGACCATGAAACCTCACTTAGCAGTGCCTCATATCTGCTCTCAAGCTTCCAGCAAATCTCCCCATCTGGGATAGGATTACAGACTTGGAAGTGAGCCAGGGAAGTTTCCTTGTAGCAAGAAATAGAGGCCGATGCATGGGCCCTTTAGAGCCTACTTTAATGTAGAATTGTATCCAAAGTAAGGCCACTGATTTAGTATACTTACTTGATTTCTCTAATCAGAATTTCCTAATGAGTTCTTTGAAATGTAACTTCTAGGAGTTTTTATTATGTCCTCTTCTCCAAAAAAAGTCTGGAGGAAAGATTTTTTTTTTGGTTAAATATATTTGGAGAATGCTGCTTCATATCCTATTCTTGGGGGAAGAGTACATCCTCAGTCTTGGAGACTCATTGTGCACATTAACACGTTAAATGCCCTGAGAAGTCCACATAAAGGAATGTGTATTTACTACACTTATTTCACCAGGGAATCTTTTCTTGAGGGAATGCATTTGGAATGGTATCTTGTGAACTCTGACAGTACACATTTAGCAAGTTTACAACACTTATTTCACCAGGGGATCTGTATTTACTACACTTATTTCACCAGGGAATCTTTTCTTGAGGGAATATGTTTGGAATGGTGTCTTACGAACTCTGCCATTACACATTTAGCAAGTTAGGAACAAGAACAGGGAGGGTGGGCTGTTAAAATTAGACCACTAATTGTTAATAGTCAGGTGGTGATCGGTAGGGACAAAAATTTAAAATTCCAGAAGAGTGAGCCTATCAAGAAGAGGTAAATAGTCTTACACATTAGTAAACCTTGAGGTCATCAAGGTACAGCTCATAGTTTTAATAAAGATATTGAATCATTCAGACAAGTTAAGTTATATTCAATATAATATCTTCTATAAGGCAAAGAAATGTATTTTAGGAAGATGAATCAAAATGTTTTTTTCAATGCAATGAAATTAAAGAATTAAGTGGGAGAACTAATTTATATGGCTCATCCTGATAATGCTGGATATATGAGGTCTTGCTGAAGTTTTATATTTATAGTTTTATGTCTACCCCCTGGCTGTGTGACTTAGAATACATCCTTTTCAGGTTGGATTTATATGCTAGGCCCACCCAATCTATGGGTGTGAGCTCAAGTTCAAAGCAAATACTGTTTCCTTTTTCTTGAAGAAGAGTATTAATCATTACTTGAGATTGCATTTTTTTGGATTAATAGCAACTATATAGTATCTTTGTTGATAAAAACTACCATTTCTTCATACTTGTATACTCTGAAGTTACTACTGTGTTGGTAGCATTGAAAAAATACAGAGGAGCAAACCCAGTAGCAGAGTAAGGTTGCTTATCTTGCCTAGGGTCCAACATCAGGTTTATATTTGAATTGAGATTCGAATTGAAATGTGTTTAAGGCTCCATCCTACTTACTATTAGTGGGCTAGTGGAGTGGTTCATCCATAATGAACTATTTTGCCATCTCTCAATGTAAAAATGAAAAGCTGGAATTTTACTTGGCATAGTAAGCTCTTCAGAATATTTAGCATGGAGCATTTTAAATATTTTTTAATGTCCACACTTACTGGAAGACTTAAAGAGTATAAATCCAGGAAATAGGGGCTTTTATTAATTAATGAATGAATCTGTCCAGAAAGAGATCAAAATTGGGGAGTATGAATGTTATTTCATGTGATCAGTGTCTTTTAACTGAAAGTGTTCCAGAGTTGTTGTAATAATTTAGGTACAGAGCACTGATGTGATTTTTATCCTCTGGGAGACTTTTGAATCCTCAGACACTGATTTTTAACCTAGACAAATTTTTGAGAAATATTTCATCCATGTGTTAAATCAGCTGGTTCACCAGTAGTAGAATTGCATTATAGTTCATAACTGCAGCTCAGAGCGCCAGGCTTCTCAAGTGATTGTCTCTGAACTCTGCTCTGGTTCTTTCAAGCAGGAAACACAGTCTCCCACGATGTCACCTCTAGCCTCCCCTCCTTCTTCCCCGCCTCATTACCAGAGGGTGCCCTTGAGCCATGGCTACAGCAAACTGCGGAGCAGCACGGAGCAGATGCATCCAGGTAAGAGGCGATCTGTGGGCCAGCTGTCCCAGGCAGGGTCTTAGAGATGCCTTAATCTATCAGGCAGCAATGCTGCCAGCTGCTGAATCTCTGGACTCAATTAACTTTGTCTTTGGAAACACAGCTCAATTTAATTTTATTCTTTCAAGCAAGGTTTAAAAAAATAAAATGAAAATAGTAATGCCTTATTTTCCATCCTACAAACTAGTTCATCTTTAGACTTGTAAACAGTGATTTAGGTGATTTAATCCTTCATATACAGATTTCATAACAAAGAAAAATTGTATATTAAGGGGTTGTATTGTTCTTGATTTATTATTTTCTGCAAACATACCAAACATATTTATAAAATAACTGTTTTTATGGAACTTAAAAATATAACTGCAAATGCAAAAGAGTTGATTCAACTGTTAAAAACTGATCACATAAATGGAAATATTTAGCTTTTGTGTTTGGGAATAAGAATAAGGGAGATGCTAGGGAAAGCATTTTGCTGAGGAATGTGTAAAATGCCAGTTGTGGGATTGGTTGCCTGCTTGGTCACAGTCATGCTGTGCTGGCCATGTTAGTGGTTAAAATACGTTAGTTGGTTCTGAGGATGACTTGCAGAGTTTACTGCCTAGGCTGCAGTGCTAAAACTCCATAAATTCACTGCAGCATCTTGTCCTCCTGGGGCTCAGGCTGCTAGTTTAAGATATGACCAATTAAAGATATTCTAGAATTGGATATCTATAACCCCCCTTTTTCCTTTGTGGACTGTGGCTGAAAGTGACCCAGTTTCTGTAGGTTTTGCTGCATTGAAAATAGTGGTGACTTCTAGAGGGACACAGATATAAAATGTGTGCTAGCCTAGACAAGAGAGAGGCTGTAATCTTGCAGAGAGGTAGATATGGCATAATGGAAAAATCTTTTGATTGGAATCAGAAGGTGTGGGTTTATGTGACTACCTATGTGACTTCCGGCAAGCCATTTAACTGCCCTGAACCATGATTGCCTCTCTTTTAAAATGGAGTAATAGTATCTTACAGAGATGTTGTGAAGTTAGTGAGAATGAGTATGAAATCTGATTGGAAATTAAGTCCTTTGCAAACGCAAGATGATATTGTAACAAGAAATTACTCTCTTAAAACTGATGTCTGTAACCAAATGGGGCTGAGAATTCATTGTCCTCTTACGGTGCCTCCTGCTTTTTAGAAGTGGTTTTTTAAAAAAATTCCTAACCTTATTTGGGCTTGAAAGTTGGAGTCCTATGCCTAGTGTGGTCCCTGTTTTTGGGTTTTAATTCACAGGTGAATCATTTTTGTTCTACTGAGTCAGCATATCACCAAGTTCTACCCTATCTTTTTGATATGCCTTAAACAACTTGTTTATACTACTTCTATTGCATGCCCCATTCTCTCCTCGTCCTATTCAAATTGGATTTCTTTTTCCCCAGTGGCAAGGAAACAGCTGTTTCTCTCCATTGTTCTTAACTCTTAGCAGCATCTATCAAGGTTGTTCATGTGTTTATGCTTTCTTATCGCCCCTTTAAAAAAAGTGAGGTAAAATTTACAAATAATAAAATACACCCATTTAAAATCTACAATTTGAATTGTAACAAATGGATATACCCATGTAGACACTATTTTGATCAAAAGTAGAACATTTCCATCACCCCAGAGATGCCCCTTTCTAATCACCCCTTGCCCTCCATATAAGCACTGTTCTGACTTTTACCACTATAGATTAGTTTTGCCCCTTCTAGAACTTCATATAAATGGAATCATATTGAATGACTACTCTTATTTGTCTGCTGTCTTTCTCTCAGCATAGTGGTTGAGATTCATCCATGTTGTTGTATGTTTCAGTAGTTTGTTTCCCTTTATTATTCAGTAGTGTTCCATTGTATGAATGAATCACAGTTTGATTAGCCATTCTCCTGTTGATGGGCATTTGGGTTATTTCCAGTGTTTGACTGTTATGAACAAAGATACTGTGAACATTTGTGCGTGAGTTTTTTTTGTGACATAAGGTTATAATTTCTCTGGTACTTAGGAGTGGAATTGTTGAACTTAGGGTAGGTGTATGAGAAAGTGCCAAACAGTTTTCCAAAGGAACCGTATACTCCTACCAGCAATGTATGAGAATTTATGTTCCTTGAGAGCATTTGGTACCCTCAGTGGTTTCTTTTTCCTCAGTGTTTTCAAGTTTAGCCATTCTGTTAGATGTGAAGTGATACCTCTTTGTGGTCACTTTTTCATTCTTGAAACATTGTTGTCTAAGTTTCTCTTACCCCTTTCTGATTTTTCTCCTACATCATGATTCTTAGACTTATGAGCTGCTCTTCCAGAGGGTTCTCCTTTGTACAGCATACCCGTAGAGAGGAGTCTGAGTGAACAGTCTCCTGTTTCTCAAGGAGTTGAGTTTCATGGGTCTGGCCATGGATTAGGAGGCTGTTAGGTCCCTGTAGCTGGGAACAAGGACATTCGTAAATAAAATGTTTACAGGTATTTCCATTTAGACTTCTCCATTTACCTAAATCAAAGGAAGGGAGAGTTCTTCTATATACAACTTGTGTCTATCTGAAGATTTTTGCTTCTAATTGACACTATTCACACCCAACTTTGTCAGTTCCTGTTTATATAATATCTGTGGCTTTCCCCACAAAGAATTGTCTGTATTTTGCCTTCTATTCTGTCATGTATCTTTAGGTGAAAAAATAAGAGGAGACCACATGTCTTTTTTCTCCCTCTCTCCCTACATTTTCAGAACTCAGTTTTTCTTCAGGCTTGTGTGTTCCCCCCCCCCCCCCATTTGTTTCTTAACTCACCTCTGTTGCCTTCACAATGGCATCAACCCATCTGAGGGACTCAGGATTCTCTTTTCTATTTCTGTACTCCATCTTCTCTTTGTTCTAGATGGATTCTTCCCTTGAGTATTATGAAGTGACCTTCTGTATCTCTTTTTATGGCCCTTGTTTTGAAGTCTATTTTGTCTGATATGAGTATTGCTACCTTGGCTTTTTTTCCCTGTCCATTTGTTTGGAATATTTTTTTCCAGACCTTCACTTTCAGTCATTGTAGGTCTTTTGTTCCGAGGTGGGTCTCTTATAGGCAGCATATGTGTGGGTCATATGTGTGGGTCATGATTTTTTATTCATGCAGCTACTCTATGTCTTTCAATTGGAGCATTTAATCCACTTACATTTAAGATTATTTTTGATAGGTACATATTCATTGCTATTTTACCCCATTTGTACCTATGTTCCTCTATTTCCTTTTCTTCCTCTTTTTGAAGCAGTTCTTTTAGCATATCTTGCAATGCTGGTTTGGTGGAGGTATGTTCTTTCAGCCTTCTTTGTCTGGGAAGCTCCTTATTTCACCTTCCATTTTATTTTTTATTTTTATTTTTAAAGATTTTATTTATTTATCTTTAGAGGGGAAGGGAAAGAGAGAGGGAGAGGAACATCAATGTATGGTTGCCTTTCGTGCATCCCCTGCTGGGAACTGGCCTGCAACCCAGGCATGTGCCCTGACTGGGAATCGAACCGTGAGTGTCTGGTTCACAGGCCCATGCTCAATCCACTGAGCTACACCAGCCAGGGCCTCACCTTCCATTTTAATTGAGAGCCTTGCTGGAATGAGTAGTCTTGGTTGCACACCTTTGCTTTTCATTACTTGGAATATTTCTTGACATTCCCTTCTGGCATGTAGTGTTTCCATTGAGAAGTCAGCTGCTAGCCTTATTGGGGCTCCCTTGTATGTTACTTCCTGTTTCTCCCTTGCTGCCTTTAAGATTCTCTCTTTGTCTTGAAATTTTGTCATTTTAATTATGATGTGTCTTGCAGTGGGCCTCTTGGGTTCCTCTTGATTGGGACCCTCTCTGTTTTTCCTGGGTTTGTACGGCTTTTTCTCTTATGAAATTAGGGGAGTTTTCTATCATTACTTTTTCAAATAGGTTTTCTATCTCTTGCTCCTCTTCTTCTCTTTCTGATATCTCTATTATATGAATATTATTCTGTTTCATGTTGTCCTGCAGTTCCCTTAACCCCTCTTCATTCTTTTTTATTATTTTTTTCTTTTCTTGCTCTTTCTGGAAGTTTTATTCTTCCTTGTTCTTTAGCTTGCTGATTCAGTCCTCTGCTTCATCTAGCCTGATTTTGATTCCTTTTACTGTGTTCTTCAATTAAGAAATTGTATTCTTCATTTCCTCTTAGCTCTTGTTGATAGTTTCTATGTCCCGTTTCATGCTGATATAGTTTGCAGTGAGTTCATCATAGTTTCCTTGTAGTTTTTGGTAATTCTCACTGAGATCATTGAGCTTCCTCATAACCATTGCTGTGAACTCAGTATCTGATAGTTGACTTGCATCTATTTCATTTAGTATTCTTTCTGAGACTTCCTTCTTTCCTTTTGATTGGGTGTTGTTTCTTTGTTTTCCCATTGTTTGCGAGGCTCTTGTTGTTTGCTTCTGCTTCTTAAATTGATCTGTTTTGACTCCCTGAGTTTGTGGTGTGAACTTCTGTGGTAGGAGACCTGTGAGGTTCAGTGGTGCAGTCTCCTTGATCTCCTGAACTTGATGCTCTTCGGATGCCCTTTATGCTGTGTATGTTGGCTCTCTGGATGTAATTGGGTTTTGATTGTTGTTGGGTCATTCTTTGGTGGGCCCTGCCCACCACCTGGTTTACTGAGGGTCACTCCACCCACCATCCCTTGTATACTGTTGTGCAGGTGTAGTCAGATTGTGCTAAAGCTGACTCTTCTGTTTGTCCAAGGTTATATCTCTTCTCTCTTGTTATTGTTCAGTTGTTTGTTCTGGGTGATTTCACCACAATTTAGTTGTAATTTCCGATTGGTCCTGGGAGGAGATTAGTATGGATTCCATTCACTCCTCCGCCATCTTATGCCATTCTGTTCCCTTTGGTATAGACAGTAACATATCTAAAACCTGCTAAACCTTAGCATTCTTGTACTAAGCACTCTAGACTTATTTTTAGTTTCTGCCTTTTCAGAAAGGAGTTTTGTTACTGGAATAATTTTCTTGTAATACATTTTGATGGGGTTATTTCCATGTTTGATATTCTGCCATAATTCCTGGCTGGTGGGGCATGTGTTGAGTGTGTTTTAAATCAGACTGAACACCATCAGACCAGTATATAGTTGAGCCTCTCTTCAGCTTCTCTCCCAGGGTCCTGCTAGTCTCATCTGCTGGATGTAGCTCTAGCTGATGTTCATTGCATATGACTTATGTGCCATGCATTGTGCTGAGGTCTTTATGTGCATTATTTTCACTCTTAACCATACTCCTCAGAGGTAGACAATTGCTATCCATATTTTAAAAAAAAGAATGTTTAAATCACAGAAATACATGTGTGTAGTTAGATAATACTTAGATGCCTTATAGTAAATACAACTGTTCGTCTCACTGAACCTGTTTCTGGTCTCCAGAGGCAACTACTTTCAGCTCTCTTCCTTGTTTCCTCTCATAGCTAGTGTCTTATTTCAAAATCACTATGTCTGTTCTGCTTTTTCTTATACATGTTATTCCAATGTATCAATTCTAGGTATCTACTCACTTAAGAGCATAGGTCATGATGTTCATCTCCTGGCCCTAAAGGTAGAGTTGGTGGGCCTACATTTCTCATTTCTGTCCATTTCTAACCTGCGTGACTATGGGTATTTCACTCTCCTGGGCCTCAGTTTCCTTAATCTGTAAAATGGAGTAATCTCTGCCTCAGAGGTTTGCTTTGTGAATCAAATGAAAAATGTAAACATCTGTGCCTACCACAGTTCCTGGCACATTGTAGGTGCTCAGATGTTCTTTACTATTTTCTTTTGTGTTTTTAGAATCTAGTATTCATTTTATTTGTGAAATTCTTAAGTGTTCTTTAAAGTCACCTTCTGGCCATCATTCACTGGGTTGACTGCAGATATAGAGTTTATATTGTAAAGTTACTCATGTCACACTGCTCTAGTTTGACATTGAATCTCACAGTGATGAAATCTTCAGGGTTTTTTTTGAATTCCTATTTCTGGAGAAAGATGGTAGTTCTAGTTCCTTATAAAACCTCTTGTAAAGGGGATCTAAGAATTACTTTTTTTTGTACTGAGTTACATGTCTTCTGTTTTATTTGGGAGGAAGATGAGTAGAAGTTTAAGTAACACCTACCTTGTTACCTCCTGAGTTCAGATCCAATTGCAGAATGAGATCAATGATTGCCTGAATATCAGCTGTGTTACTGATAAAGCTGATTGCAGCATGTCTTAGGTTTGTGATTACATGAGCTTCAGATATTCATCTTTCCAGCCACAGGCAGGTGTAGCCAACCCAGGCGTTTCATAGGGGTAGAAAGAAAAATCTGCCTTTGAGACCAGACCTCTCCAAAAATGATCCTCCACATGGCTGAGTCTTTATTTAAGCCTTACTGATGAGGTAGGCCTGTCATTGCCAAGGAAAGAAAGCCTTTGTAGGTGAGGGACCACAGCCATAGGCCTAGTGGCTTCCCCCACACATTTCCCTTCTAGGCAGTAGAAGCTCCCTTCTTCTGAGGGGAACCAGAGGCACGTGGGATCAGGGAAAGCTTCCCAGGGAAAGCTTCTGCCCACTAGTATCCCAACCATGGTAGAGTTTACTGTCATTCAAACCTTCCAGCATTGAGTTTAATTTGGTGTTTTATCAAAATGAAATGATCTTAAAAGTCTTTCTCTGAAGACAACACCTGCCTACCAGCTGAGATTTATTTTTAAGTTTTGGATTATGTGTTCTCTGTATATATTTCTTTCTCATTTTTATATTTTTAATAATTCTTAGCAGAGTCTGAAAATCCACTAAATGATTTGCCAGGCAGTGATTTTGTTACTTTAATGTGTTATAATCTTGTGTTTCAGTTTCTTGGATGAAATACAATAAGCAGATGTGAGCCCAGGAGTTATTTGTTATTCTTGATGTGCTGTTGTTATGTACTTTCTTTCTTTCCAAAAGATCACACAGTGCTAAAGATGATGCACTAACAAGGCTGCTCTGCTCTCTCTACCTAATTTTATTTATAACGAAGCTATAGAAAGAATTTTACTTCTTTACATACTTCCAAAAGCTCAAACTGTTATCCCTCACAGATTAGAAATGCTGTCATCTTGAATGATAATTTCTCCTTTCTCTTGGAGCTGAGTACTACCTGGTTATGTTTAACTGTTTTTATGCCCTACTGGCAAGGTCATTAAGTGTTCTGGAAATAAAAGGAATTAAAAATATGTTAATTTTCATGGCTTAAAACTTTTTCTTAAAGGTAACAGTTATTTTTAGTTTGGTTATCAAAAGATAAAATAATACATATAAAATACATTTATTGCTTTCTGCTTTTTTCTCTATTTGGTTTTACATAGTTTCCAAAAAGAGAAAGAAGACAGTGCCATTTAGTTTTCAAAAATAAAACAAAATGAATAGTAATGTTGGGTCTTACTGTTCAAAATGCATATTCATTTTCTTCTTGGGGGGTGGGCAATGAATGGAAGACTTTTAAACAGGAGGGTATATATAGAATGTACCTTATGTTAAGAATTTGAACACTTAAGACATGGTACTTTCCTAACTACTCTCATTGTTTTCTATCCCAATTTAGATTCTCACCATTTTACCCTTACAATTTATTCCTAATATTAACATGATGTAAATATTTTCCCACCTTATCATAAATTGGTTGGATATCTTTAGATTGTTCAGTTAAATTGTGCCCAGGGGCACCAAGGTTTGTTTGTCCTAGGTGGCCCTATGCACATAAACTCCAATTCCTTTGCTAATTCTGCCCTTAAAAGCACACACTGTATCAGCTGGAATGTGAAGTCATAATTTTTGAATGGAATCTTTGTGTCCAATGCTGACTTTCCCTCCTGTTTCAGCTCCTTATGAAGCTAGACAGTCCCTTATCCAGCCCGAGGGATCCTCATCAGGGAACCAAGGAGCCAAGCCCCCTCGGCATCAGGCTTCCCTTATCCAGGTAAGTGATTATATGGGGTTATATACTAATTGGAGACTTTGAGGACCTGGCTTTTTGATGGGTCCTCTTTTTTTTTTTGCAAGGAAGATAGAAAATTTCCCCTTTCATGCAAATATTGCACTTCTGTTTTTGTCTATTTTCTTAAATCTTCTTACTATATATGTTTCTTGGTATCCATAGACTACCCCAGGCTGGTTCTTAGGCTTTGGTATGTCTAAAATGCCCTTGCACCTTTATCTACTTAATTATTAGGTACCTTCTTCAGGAGAGCTTTACTCTTTCCAAAATAGCATATCATACCTCTGCCTTATTTATTCTTTATTATCACTCATTCAGTGCATAGTTAGCCCTTGCCCATTTGTTTGGTGCTTACAATTACATTGCAATCTTTTGGAAGGCAGAAGTAGTTTTTCTGTATTCTCCCTTAGCGCCTAGTTCAATGCTGTTGGGAGAACAATTATTTTACAAGTGGCAGCAACTACTTTTTCCGTATGTAATAGATACAAAAGAAATACTGTGACAGAGGCACAAGTGATATTTCAGTTTTTCCTGGCTACATCATTGCTTAGAACATTTCAGCTTTTATTTCTACATTATTTTCCTTTGGATAAAGAGGTCTTATTTTTTTTCCTGTATTTGCCATGGTTTTCTTGTATAGTATTTCTGAGTCCTGTGCTGGGGAAGTCATGTTCTCAAAAAAAAAGTGTGTGTGTGTGTGTGTATGTGTGCACGCGTGCGTGTGTGTCTGCATGAGAGAAGTTATGAAAAACTTGGTTCACTGTTTGACCCAAAACACAAGAGGAAGTAGGGTGGTTTGTATAACACTTCAACAGTCCAAATTGGGAAGAGGATCATTTATGCGCAGGCAGTTCTACTCAAAATAGCAGGGTGGTGTCAGATAACTCCCATAAGGAAATGGGCTGGTGTCTGGACCAGAATAGACAAAGGCTAAGAAAGATCATGGTGTTTACTGAGTATCACTGGGAATAGGTACTATGCTATGTATGGTACATAACTTTTATCTTCTAAGGTGGTGGTACTTTGTGTCCAAAGAACTTTCTTAAGGAATAATTTAACCATATGTTCGGTATTTATATTTAATGCCTCTTGTCAGCTATAATATCTAGGTATTGTTAGATCTGTTAGTATAGATGAGTTAACTGGCTGAGAGAGGTTAAGGTCTAAGGTTTTATTTATAACTCCTAAGTGGCAGAACCAGAATTTGAACCCAGGCCCGCCCGATGTCAAAACTTGCATTTTAAAATACTTGGCTATGCATTAGAGTCCCATGTTACAAGGAGGCTAGTTTCTAAAGTTGCTGCATAAACCAACATTGGCAGTAGTAAAAAATATTCCTGAAAATCCTGTGTTGGTACCACACTGCAGAGCCAAGATGCTATTCTCTCCTAGGTCCCATAGAGCTCAATTTTACTCCTGAGTTAGAACAGATAGCTGTTTCTTCAGATAAGTCCCAGATATAGCAGTTGGCTGCATTTAAAGGTCCTGTGGTACAAAAATATGTGTTTTTAAACACAAGAATCACACCCACAGTAGAGTGATGGTTACATTAGGAAAGCTATCAGAGGGACTGGGGGTTATCTAAAAAATACTCAGGGTATGGCTGTGCTTGTTTATGCAGGGTATATTCTAGTGCCATGGAGGCCAAATTCTGAATGGTTAGAATGGTGGTCAAACAGGTAGTAAATCATGAACTTTGCAATGGTCGCATGGGGCTTACTGGCCCTTTCTACCTGACCCCCTAGGTGGGATGGCCATGGGCTACCACTTGGATTGGTGTCCTGTGACTTCTCTTTGAATCTCTAGGTATATTTTTTGCTGATAAACATGCTTTTGGGGTATTTCACTCACCTGATGTTTACTAAACATGTATTACATACTAGGTACTGTGCTGAGAATACAAATGTGAGGTATAATACTCCCATTCCCTGCCCTCATGAAGCTTATAGACTATTGAGGGATATAGCCATTAATTGAACCATCACAGTGTGATGTGAATGGAAATTACAGTGTGTTTTGATGGTTAAAAATGGTATGAGGAGACATGGTTTTGACCTGGCCTTGGCAGGCAAGGAGTGATATTTGAGTTGAAATGAGAAGGATTCATAGGTGTTAACCAGGTGAAGGAGTGGGTTTGGAAGAAATAGGCAAAAAGACAGAGGGAACTGCACACAAAGATATTTTCTTTATGCTTAGCATTTTATACACATCATCTCGTTCACTTCTCACAGCTATTTTATGAGGTAATTTCTGTTATCCCATTTTAAGATACTAAAACCGGAGGTTTAAAAGACCTTATTTAGTTTGTCCAAGGTTACAGCTAGGAAGTGGTAGGACTGGAGTTCAAACACTGGACATAATTCTTTATTCTCTGGCTCAGGAACCATATGGAAGATGATGTCATCTGTTAAGCTAAGAAGCCCTGGATGGGAAACTGGTGTTGGAAGTATTAGGGAAAGATTGTAAGTTCAGCGTTGGATGTTAGAATTTGAGCTTTTGATATAGCCAAGAGGAGGTGTCAGAGATGGTAGGATATATGAGTCTGGAGCTTTGGGGAGAGCCAGGCTGGACATAAGTATTTGGCAGGGATTAGAAGGACTTATGGTATACTGCAGAAAAAATCAGGCAGGTGCTCATCCAGGTCCAACCAAACTCTCTGTGACCTTGGGGCAAGTTGTTCTCTTTTCTGTAATATGAATGACTTGGAATGGATTTCACAGTTCATTGTAATAATCTGCAACAGTCTGATTCCCTTAATGTTTATTTGGCATCAGTGAAGTTCCCCGCCTCCTGTTTGGAGCATTGCCTTCTGTTTCAGATGAGAGCAAGGGGCCTTATTTTGGGACAGCAGTATGTGGTTTTCATGGCTGATATGTTTTTCTTTCTTTAGTTCTTAGGTTTCATTCTTATGTCTGTCAAGTTGGCTTGGCTGGACTCCACGTTCCAGAAAGCAAAATGCCAACCTGAATTAGTCATATAGGTGAGGGGATCTGAAGTGAAGGCTCTTGGTGGAAGGGGATTAATATGGATTCAGCATGGTGGTAGACCAGACCAGGCTAACTAATTCCCCTCATGTTGCCATGTTAATACGCTGATGGCAGCCTTGCTATCTTCTAGCTTCCTCTATGGCCTTGTATTCAAGCCCTTCCTGCCTGATTGGGAGGAGGTGGCCTCTGGGTCTTGGGGAGGCTTTTAAGGACTCTAGGCCAGCTTTGTTGCAGCTCACAGGCTTGCCATTTTAGAGGTACTTATACCAAAATCAAGATTCAAATTTTGGGTCTTTTTGGTTAATGTTTTAGGAATTTCAATTTTTTTTTTTTGTTAAGATGGTAGATGGTTGACAGTGGTTCTTTTTTTTTTTCACTTTTTATTTTTTAATTTTTATTTAATTATTTTTCAAGTACATTTTTTTGTCTATTTCTCCCATCCCAGCCCCCCCCCCCCCCCCCCCCCCCCCCGTCTCCCCACCTCCCTCCCATTCCCCACCCTTCCCAGTCCTCATCCCTGTGTCTTTCATACTTGTTCCTCAAAATCCCTCCCCATTTTTCCCCTTAAATTCCCTTCTCTCTCCCCTCTGGTAGTGGTTCTTAAATAAATGGTATGTCTCCCGCTTCATCTATTATCATGAGTTTGTAGGTCATTTTATGGTTTACTTTTCACAAGTTATTCTAACTATCTAGATTATGTGGGCATTTGTAATTTTGCTGGTACAGGATTTAGAAATGCCCCTTCTGCTCTCACTATGCTGCACTGCCTCTGTTTTTGCCACTGTTGCCAGAAACTACCTAGTGTTAAGTCCTTGTCTTATTAACCCCTTGTCAGCTTTTGACACTGATTCATCATTTCGTGTCCATGATGTTATCCTGGACATCCTATCCTGATTTTTCTCTCATTTCTATGACTACCTGTTCTTGATCTTTTTCGGTTCTTCTTCTTCCACCTGACTCATACATGTTGGTGAGTCCTAAATCTAATTCTCATTCTATTACTTCTTAGCTATGTGGAGGCTGATGACCTGCTAGTCATCTTCACTCAAGAATCCCACTGTCACTTTAAACATCTTTCCCAGAAAACTAGCTTTCATTCTTGCGTTACTGGCTCCATCCACTAATTGGCACATGCCAGAATGCTGGTCATTGTCTCTGAATCCTTTCTCACCCATTCTCCCCATTCGGTTACCAAGTCTTGCCCATTTTACTTTCTAAATATCTCTTACCTGCCCATTCTTTTGCACTTCCTCAGTTAAGGCCATCTTCTGTCACCAAATCTGTTACATCAGTTTCTTTCTTCTTGCTTCCACTGTTGCCTTATTTAAATCCATTATCCTCACTGTAGATGAAAATAATCTGAAAAATACAAATACATTTCTCCTATCCCTTGATTGAAACCTGTCACATAATACCCACTGCTCTCAGAACATCATCCACCTTCCCTAACGTGGTTCTGGGGCATGCTGTGTGGCCTCTGATGCTGTTCTCTTCAGTCACAACAGCCTACTGCTTCTCTCCCTCTGTCCTCTGGCCATGCAGAGATGCTGACCATTTCCCATGTGGTCCATGTTCTGTGTGGGAACCTTACTCTTCATCCTAGTTTTGCCTTCTTTGTTTTCTCCTTTGTCACAGTTCATCTATGTGTTTTTTCCCATTGATAACACAAAATGCAAGCATTTTCTAATATTTCATATATATATGTGAAGTTTTCATTCTTAAATGAAAATACTTAAATTAAAAAAAAATTTTTGAAGTACAGTTGTCTCCATTTCCCTGCCATTACTTTCCCCCACCCTGTCCACCCCTACTTCTCTTTGGCTTTGACCATGGGTCCTTTATACATGTTACTTCATGACTCTTCTTCTATTTTTCTCCATTGTCCCTTCCCCACCCCTGGTTACTGTCAGTTTGTTCTTTATTTCCATGTCTCTGGTTGTATTTTGGTTCTTGTTTGTTTTGTTGATTAGGTTCCACTCATAGGTGGGATCATATGGTATTTTTCTTTCACTTAGCATAATGCTCTCCAGTTCCATCCATGCTGTCGCAAAGGGTAGGAGCTCTATCTTTCTTTCTGCTGTGTAGTATTCCATTGTGTAAATGTACCACAGTTTTTTAATCCAGTCATTTACTGATGGGTGCTTAGTTTGCTTCCAGCACATGGCTATTGTAAATTGTGCTGCTGTGACTGCAACATACAGAGATTAAAAAAAATATTTGTATGTAATTGTCCAGATCTGCCAACACCACTTGTTGAAGAGGATATTTTTACTCCATTTTGTGCTTTTGCCCCCTTTGTTGAATATTAATTCAGCATAGAGATGTGGGTTTATTTCTGGGCTCTTTGTTCTGTTCCATTGATATATGTGTCTGTTCTTATGCCAGTACCAAACTGTTTTAATGACAGTGGCCTTGTCATATAGTTTGGTGTCAGGTATTGTGATCCCTCCTACTTTGTTCCTCTTTCTCAAAATTGCTGTGACTATTTGGGGTTGTTTATGATTCCATATAAATTTTTGAAGTGTTTGTTCTATGTCTGTGAAATATGCCATTGGTACTTTAATAGGTATTGCATTGAATCTGTATATTGCCTTGGGTGGTATGAACATTCTGATGATGTTAGTTCTTCCCATCCATGAACATCATACATGCTTCCATTTCTTTGTGTCTTCCTTAATTTCTTTCTTCAGTGTTATGTAGTTTTCTGAGTACAATTCTTTTACCTCCTTGGTTAGGTTTATTCCTAGGTATTTTATTTTTCTTGTTGCTATAGCAAATGGTTTTTTAAAATTTTTTATTTATTTATCTTTAGAAGAGAAGGGAAAGAGAGAGGGAGAAAAATATCAGTGTATGGTTGTCTCTCGTGTGTCCCCTGCTGGGAACTGGCCTGCAACCCAGAGATGTGTCCTGACTGGGAATTGAACCATGATCTTTTGGTTCGCAGGCCCGCGCTCAATCCACTGAGCTATACCAGCCAGGGCGCAAATGGGGTTTTTTTTTAAAGATTTAATTATTTATTTTTAAAGAGGGGAAGGGAGGGAGAGAAACATCAATGTATGGTTGCCTGTCATTTGCCCTCTAATGGGAGCCTGGCCCACAACCCAGTCATGTGCCCTGATTGGGAATCAACCAGTGACCCTTTGGTTCACAGTCCCACACTCAATCCACTGAGCCACACCATCCAGTATGCAAATGGGATTTAAAAAAACATGGCATGCTTAATGAATTTCCATGTCATCCTTGCACAGGGGCCATGCTAACTTCTGTATCGTTCCAATTTTAGTATATGTGGTGCCAAAACGAGCACCCATTTTTTCATTCTTAAAAATGGCTCATTCCTCATCTCATTTATATGAGAAACTCAGCCAGAGGGAGAGGCATCCAATCTTTATGGGTCTCCCATCCCAGAAGCATTTGGTGTTGTTCGTTTCTTTTGTATTGTTCCAGGAATGCTTTATGTATATATAAGCAAATACAGTATTCTTATAGAATCCTAATATATGTGGTATATTTTTACTTGACTTTAGGGAGATAGGTTTGGCAAATGAGATCCTTCCAGCCAGATCTCACTAGGAAAAAAAACTATATTTTCAACCAAAACATGCTTGCTTTTAAAACCCTACACATATGTGTACTGTGAAGTTTTCTTCTCTTTTTTGGAGTGACAAACTTAACAGTTTTTTGGAATAAATTTTCAATGCTCACTATTCTTTTTACTTCAAAGATAAAATAATGACAAACAATATTTACAGAACTTTACCACCCTGCTATTACAGTGGGGGTTTGGGCTATGTTTTCTGTGGAAGTTTTCTTTCTTTCTTTTTTTAAAGATTTTATTTATTTATTTTTAAACAGAAGTGGAGGGAGGGAGAAACAGAGGGAGAGAAACATCAATGTGTGGTTGCCTCTCACATGGCCTCCACTGGGGAGCTGGCCTGCAACCCAGGCATGTGCCCTCACTGGTGACGCTTTGGTTCGCAGCCCGTGCTTAATCCATTGAGCTACACCAGCAAGGGCATGGAAGTTTTCTAATAACAGATAGGGGATGGTTTTTAGACATTGCTAGTCAGGCACCATATTAATCCAAAAGTCTGTAACTTTAAAAACATTTATTTTACTTGGTTGTCTCCTTTTCCCCCTCATTTTTTTTTCAGTTTGGTTGTAAATAGGTGTGAGTTTGTTGTCATTTTACTGTTCATGTTTTTTTAACTTTTTCTTAAATAAGTCCCTTTAACATTTCATATAATAAGGGCTTGGTAATGGTGAACTTCTTTAACTTGACCTTATCTCAGAAGCACTTTATCTGCTCTTCCATTCTAAATAAAAGCTTTGCTGGATAGAGCAATCTTAGATGTAGGTCTTTGGATTTCATGAATTGGAATACTTCTTTTTTTTTTTTCTTCTCAGATTTAATTAAGGTTAATATTTTATGTCAGTGGCTTTGTCATTTTTAAAAATTTTTTTTATTGATTATGCTGTTACAGATGTTCTATTCCCCCTTTCATTCCCCTCCACCCTACCCCCCCATCCCCACCATTACCCCCCCTTTAGTTTATGACCATGTGTCTCAAGTCCTTTAGATTCTATATTTCCCATACTATTCTTGCCCCCCATCTATTTTCTATCTACTGTCTATGCTACTTATTTTCTGTACCTTCTCCCCTCTTCTCCTCCTCCCACTCCCCTGTTGCTAACCCTCCTTGAGATCTTCATTTCTATGTTTCCACTCCTGATCTAGCTGTCCTTTTAGTTTGCTTTCATTTTAGGTGTGGTTGTTAATAACTGTGAGTTTGTTGTCCTTTCACTGTTCATGTTTCTTTAACTTCTTTTTCTTAGATAAGTCCCTTTAACATTTCATATAATAAGGGCTTGGTGATGATGAACTCCTTGAATTTGATCTTATCTGAGAAGCACTTTATCTGCCCTTCCATTCTAAATGAAAGTTTTGCTGGATAGAGCAATCTTGGTTGTAGGTCTTTGGATTTCATGACTTGGAATACCTCTTTCCAGCCCCTTCTTGCCTGGAAGGTCTCTTTCGAGAAATCAGCTGACAGTCTGATGGGAACTCCTTTGTAGGTGACTGTCCCCTTATCTCTTGCTGCTTCTAGCATTCTCTCCTTCATTTGAATCTTGGCTAATGTAATGATGATGTGCCTTAGTGTGTTCCTCCTTGGGTCCACCTTCTTTGGGACTCTCTGAGCTTCCTGGACTTTCTGGAAGTCTATTTCCTTTGCCAGATTGGGGAAGTTCTCCTTTATTATTTGTTCAAATAAGTTTTCCACTTGTTGCTCCTCCTCTTCCCCTTGTGGCACCCCTATAATTCGAATGTTGGAATGTTTAAAGATGTCCTAGAGGTTCCTAAGCCTCTCCTCATTTTTTTGAATTCTTGTTTCTTCATTCTGTTCTGGTTGAATGTTTCTTTCTTCTTTCTGGTCCACTCCATTGATTTGAGTCCCAGTTTCCTTCCCAACACTATTGGTTCCCCGTGCATTGTCCTTCATTTCACTTAGTATAGTCTTCATTTGCTCCTCTAATTTGTCACTAAAATTAACCAATTCTGTGAGCATCCTGATTACCAGTGTTTTGAACTGTGGATGTGATAGGTTGACTATCTTTTTGTCTATTAGTTGTATTTTTTCTGGAGTTTTGATCTGTTCTTTCATTTGGGCCATTTTTTTTTTTGTTTTTGTACCTCCCCCCTCATTCTTGTTCAGTCTGAATTTCTTGCTGTGGCCCTCAGCCTGCTACACACTTAACCATAGGTACTTATGGCCAGAAGTAAATTCCCTCTGTTCCTTGAATCCTTTTGGAATGGTTCTATTGGTTTGGCCAAAAAGTCCATTATGTTTTTTGCAAAATGAAAGGTACATTTAAAAAATACATATTCTTTATTGTATTTTTCCATTACCACTTAATCCTCTTATACTCCCCTCCCCCCAGCAAATACCATCCTTCCGTTCATGTTCATAAATCCTTTTTCTTTTTTGCTCAATCCCTGTATCTCCTAACCTCCCCCATTTTCACCAATAACTTTATTGATTTGTATATTTTGAGTATGTTGGCTATCTCCCACCATTGGCTTCTAGTGGGTAGAGGCCAGAGGTCCTGCTAAACATCTTCCAATGCATAACAGTCCCACAGCAAAGAATTATTCGGGTGAAATGTCAGTAGTACCAAGGAACTTCCCAAACCACTTTTGACACATTCGACCAGTCACAACACCTTCTCCATACACTGCACAAATCTTTTTGCATTTTAGGTGCACTTCTTTACCTTTCTTGAAAGAATAAAGCATAGTATGCCAAAAGTGTTGTGTATCTTCTTCCGTCTTTTGACAAGTTGTTTTTAAATGCATGGTGATATGACAGCTGTCACGATACAATCTAACAAAATTGTTCTGAATGAAATTAAAGACACCTGAGCACTACTAGAACCATCGTATGGAAAAAACAGAGGTTTTGGACATCCCAGTAAATACCAAAGTATGTGCATAAAGGATGGTGAGAAAAGGAATACCTCGAGGCTCTGTTGGAGGGGTGTAAACATAAGTCCAGAAGGAATTGACAGTTGTCACAGGTAAATTATTCATCCTAAGAGATTTAATGGGAGCAGGAAAAGTATTGGGTTGGCCAAAAGTTTGTTATAGTATTATAATATTATATGGCATTGTTATAGCATTAGTTCCCAGAAATGGAATAATTGGGTGAACTGTCTACACATTTTTAATTTTTGAAAACAATTTTATTTATATATTTTTTAGAGAGAGGGAAAGGTAGGGAGAAAGGGAGAGTAACATCAATCAGTTGCCTCTTGCATGTACCCCAACCAGTTACCAAACCTACAACCCAGGCATGTGCCCTGACTGGGAACTGTGAACTGGCAACCTTTTGCCCTGTGGGACAACACACAACCCACTGAGCCACACCAGCTAGGGCTACACATTTTAATATTAGATAGAGATTTTAGAACTGGAGACCGTATCAATTTACACACTTGCCAACAATGTATGAAAATATTTATTTTCCTATACCCATGCAAACACAATATGGTAAAAAAAATCTTACGGATCTTTGCAATCCAATAGGTGAAAAATGATATCTCCGTGTAGTTTTAATTAGCTTTTTTATTGATGAAGTGGGATATTTTAAATTTATGAGTCATTTGTATTTACTTTTTTGTGAATTGCTTCTTCATATCATATACCTTTTTGGGGGGGGGTTATCAGTGTTTCCTTATTGGTTTGTCATTTCTACCAGTCTGAAAGCAGAAGCTGGTATCTCTGTTCCTTTGGACAAGTGAGAGGTTGTAGTATATATGGAAAACTGCTCTTTGCATGGTGAAGGAGAGGTCCTGGGTACCTGAGGCCCTGGAAGCAGGGTAGGGACCCAGCTTCTTTTCAGTTCTGGAGTTTCCCAGGCTGCCTGCAATGGGGATTTCCTGTTTATACCTTCATGACAGTAAAGTTGTATTATTTACTTTATGGGTAGAGATTAGAGCTAGGAAAATCTTTTGTTGTTAGGGATAGTAAATGTCTACACAGTGTGTCTGTGCATTGACCTGTCATCATTGCTTAGACAGCTCAGTTTTCTTGCTCTGAGTGAAACAGGAGGAAGAAAGGGAGAGGGAGGGGGAGGAACAGGGAGGGAGAGAGTATCTGTGTGTTTGCCTTTGTGTGTAACAGGAAGAACTGGTTTGATAAATTTTTTTAGGAATGCATGTTCCTTGTTCTTTATGTGACATCTTGTTTTACCAGATTCATTCCCCATTTGATGTTAAACCCTCCCTGGAGTTTTACCCTCTCCTAGGAGGTAAAAGATAACTGTGTCCTCAGTATGTTCATTGCCAACTCTACCTAGGACTGACAGATATCTGAATGGTCACTATTACCACAAACAAGTTTTATTTTTCATAGCAGCAAGCCCCCTTCCTACTCACCTACTTATAATTATTTTTCAGATTTTCTGTGTCTTATTTTTGAAACATTTAACTTCAATCGATACTGAAATTTACTTTTCTCAGCCTAAGCCTTTTTTTTTTAGCTCTTATTGTATTCCTCAGGTGCTTATCATGTCCCCATCCTTCTTAACAATTAAAGTGATGTTAATTGCTTGTGTCTGTGTGTGGGTGTGGATGTGGTTTTTCTTTTTTTTTTTTTTTTCTGAGATGTACTTCTATGTGAAAGACAAAAATGTTTTGTGCTGCAAGATGAGAATGGCAAAAAAATATTAGATCACTGACTTCCAGCCAAGATGGAGGTATAGGTGGAAATACTGTACCTCCTTGCACAACCAAATTTAAGGACAACAA